AACGATGGACTGTATGAATGTAGATGATAACTAATTGAAGAGTTGTTTTCATTAAATATTTAAAAATACTGTTTTGATTTATATTCCTGAAATAATTATTTCTCCTACTTGTACAGTATCTAAATACTGACAGTAATATACTTTTTAAATCATAGTTTATGAAGGAAATAGAGGTGAGAAAGCCAATGGAATATATTCCCTATCTAGTGTATGCTATGATCAATTAACAGAGTTGAATGAACAAGGAAACAACGATAACACAGTGCCATAAATGCCAACTCATATGCACATTAGGACCACTGTGGGGAACGGCAGCCCTCCACTCATCGAAGTTGGACTTCTCCTAAAGAATGATGACATTTGAGATAGTTCAGAAAAAAAAATTAAAAAGAGAGATGGGGAGAGGGAAGGACCCTCAGGTGAAAGCGGCAGCAATTGCAGAGAGAGGGATGTCAAAGCATTGGGGTCTGAGGAATGGGGTCAGGGAGAAGTGGTCGGTAGACAGTGGTGGTGGATCATTTGTAGAGGACATTATACAGGTTACTTCTTATTTCACAGCAAGAACTGGTTTTCTGGGTGACTGGATACTGTTTCCTCTGGAGGGTTTTAGATATGTCCTTCAGTTTGGAGGACAGTAAGGCTCTGGGGTGGGAGGTGGGGTGGTGGTGGAGAGAAATACTGCAGACAGAGGGACAGTAGGAGTCTTGCTTACATGCATCAAAGTGTTAACTACCCCGCCTACAGCAGAGTATGGGTACTTTTATGAGAGAATGATGTGCATCTCTAATTCTTTTGTAGTAAAAACTATAGTTGAAAATGTTCATTAACTTCCTAGAGTTGTGTGTTAAATATTATTAATGAAAACCAAGTTTATTCCTCTGAGATAATTTTACAAATGACTAGTGACTTACTGCTTTTAATACATTGTATTATGTGCCAGATGCTGTCTGTTAGGATTCTGTAACATAGAGAAGAAATAGCAGCCCTTCCTTCACCTATGTAGAGTGACCTTCAACTCCACAGCATGAAATCTTTGACACTAAAAAGTCATTTTTTTCTTAATATTAGATTGAATGTTGTTTCTGCCATTAAATGCTTTATGAGTAAGTTTTTAAAAGACAGACTGACTATATATATATATATATATTCTAGGTAAATGTTATCTATTCAAAGAAAACAATTCACTTTGAAGTTGTAGTTTAATTTTGAACATAAAATTGAAGGTAAGTTTATGACAGGAAAGTAGAGCTTGGAAACCAAAGTATCAAAAACAACACTAATAGCAATAATAATCAGAGAAAGGATGGAAGTACCTCCCTACCTGGACTTCATGTTATGAACAGATCAGGTTGAGAAAGCACCATATACAAACCTTGGAGAGGTAGGTGCTGTGTAAATGTGCAATTAAGTGCCAAAAGGCTCATGGACCAATGTCTGGGCTTTGTCCCTGAGCTGTTGAGCCCATTTCTATTCCTAGGAGTGTTTTTCATCTCATTTCTTAATAAACTGTCTGTTTCTAACTGTGTGCTCCTGATGCAATCCTTTGTCCTGGGAAGTGGGACCTGGAGTAGGGTGCCGTCTTCCCTTTTTCTTTTCTCCTTTCTTCCTGCATAATGGCCCAAAGCATTTGTTCTCCACCACCCTTGGCTTTCTCACTGCTTCTCTGAGTTCCATTCATGACTTTCTGTCTTCCCTGCTCAGGCTCCTTCCTCCAGCAGCCATTAAGAGTTACAAATTGCCCAATCAACTGTATTTCTCTCAAACTTTACTAGAATTGTCCTCAATCTTATGTCCTCAATATATGTGTGTGTGTGTGTGTGTGTATGTATGTATGTATTTATATATATATATATATATATATATGTATACACACATACACATATATGTACACACACACACACACACGCCAAATGGGAAATTTGGTCTGTCTGGTAACAATGTATAGAAACAACAACAACCCTAATTCAAGGCCACCAGACTTCAATAAAGGTAAAGTGTGAGGGGACTGGAGCTACACTGAATTGCTCAGATAATCTGATGCAAAAAATGGAACTGAATCCACATGTCAGGACAGCTGGCCCCGTTAGTTTTATGTTTTCATAAAATGTCAACACTGACTTCTGCACAAGTACTCTGTGGGGATGCAATGCACAAAAATGGGTTTCATGGTCTTTATGTATTCTACTTAATTGAACTATAAGTTAGGTGCATTACTTTACATAGTTCAGTATCTTGGCTACAATATTTGAAATTCAGAATGTCCATTCTCCTCTCCAGTTTTCAAAATCAAATGGACAGCCATTCACAGCAATATTCTGTTACTAAAATTAAGTTTTCTTCATTTCATGGCCTTGTTGCTTCTGGGAGGAGGAATTTGATTGAGTCACTGTTATTTCTCCAACAAAATTCCAGTATATTTTTTTTGTTGAAAGAATTTTATCATGTACAGATGCAATCAGTTTTTAGTTTACTAAATTATATCCATACTTCTGTGTTTGCAAAACAAATTTAAGCTGGTAAAGCATCTTCTAGAGGTGTTTTCTATTCAGCTGGGGTCCTTATAAATTACTTAGAAGGGTAGTGGCATTGATGTAATTCATATTAATTGGCTGTTACAGAGGCTTGCTTATTGATTACACATCGGGATGCTTTAAAGACTTAGGATTCTGCAAATCAATATTTGGCTCCTCTTGTATTGGTCAAACCTCTAAATTGACTGGAGTAGGAAGAAGCCCATCAATCCCATTAGTCACCTTATGTAATTTTCTTTGGGGAAATGATGAAATATATATCCAGATTCAACTAGTCTTAAATATTGATTAAAATCCGAGTTCTCTGTTGAGATAGAGGCTTGGTTAGGAATTGACAAAAATGCAAGGAACCCTGGAAAAATACCATAATCTCTTAATCCCCATACCATCAATACTTTATTAGTTATGCAGTGTGATTAGGAAACAAAGCACATACATGTCATGTAGTCACCAAGGTATCAGGACATGACACCGTTCACATCCAGAGGTGTTGAGATTAGATTCTGGATAATTCAATAAATTAACTGATATTGACAGCCATTGGTGAGGGTTGCTGCAAATATGGTCAAACCTGAAGGTTGGATCATATGGGTTGGCCCTCCGATGAAGTAACACTTCACAAAACTGCTTTTAACTAGTCTTTATTTTGACAAACTTCTGGGTAGATCATGTAGCAGGGAGTTACAAAACTCATGTGAACTTTAATGAATACAAACGTCAAATCAAATACAGGTTTTCATTAGTTGTGTAAAATTTTACCTGCCAATAATAATAATAATAATAATAAAAACTCAGTCCAACAAATGAGATACAGTAAAAAAATGAAGTATTTATTCTTTTGGCTCATAATGAAGTAACTCACCATTCTTTTAGTAGTAGCAATTCCCTGCATGCAGTTCCTCGGTACACTACAGTAAATAGTTTTGTAAAAGGAATGAACATTAAACTTTTGGTTTGTGCAAAAAAAAGAAAAAAAGAAAAAAAAGTATCATATCATGTTAGGTAATTGCACAACTTTGCCACTTTGTTCCTGGCTAAAAAGGACAGAGCCCATGTTATGTCCATGGTAGCTTTAGTGCAGCGGGATTTAAAAAAATAAGCCTAGTCTGCATATGCAAATACTACAAAAGTTGAGTTTAAAAAAAAAGAAAAAACAAACTTCCATGAGTAAAGGATTATCTGCAGGCAACCAGAGTTGGTAGAAAATAGTCAGGGTATGAGATTTTTGACCAACAGATATCTTATTAGAATGGTAGAAAATATATTATAACAAAGAAATCCACAAAACCCACTGTCTGACTTTTATTTTAGGAAATTGTCTGCTGAAAAGTTTTTTTTTTGGATGCAAAAGTTTGGCATTTTGATTAAGAATAAAAAGCAAAAGGATAAGGTAAAATAAATTGCCATGTCATCAACCTGAAAATAATTTTCTTATGTACAAATGCTGACAAAGAAAACTGATTATATTTTACAATATTTATATTTAAACACATTTTGGACTTTTTTTTTTTTTTTTAGCAAACTATGAAGTATAGGTTTTAGTGATAGGCCCTATGCAGTGTGTCTCCATTAAATTAATAAAGACACATTGTGATACTCAAGTTGATTTAACAATGCAAAAATAAAGGTGTTTTAAAATAATATCAATGAGATTTTTCTTGACAGGTAGACAGAGAGCAGATTGAATTCTTTCTACCACCAACGTGTGGCTCTTCTTACCAAAACTTGTGATAAATGGATTGATTAAAATAGAGCAGCTTAGGCAATATTAACATGCATTAGTGATAGCCTTCCAACTATTTCTGTGTGATGAATGATACAGGATACTGACTTCCCTGTTGGAAGCTTGCAAAAGACACATACACTGTGGTACATATTTGATTTAATAGAACTTGTGTATTAGGCTATATATATGTTCATATATATATATATTTTGCCCAAACATGCACCACAGGATAAAATAACTATTTACATAACAAAGGGCATTTAATTGACACAAAGTGTCAGTTTTGCTGAGAGCAGAAGATGGCAAAGAAATTTTGCCACAGGAAGTGAAACAACTATTCTAAAGTGATACTTTGGATAAATTTTTCTAGAACAGAAATATTAAATAACTTTTTTGGGGGAAGGGGAATTCAACCAAAATTAAATATAGAACTCTGAAACTTAGAATAAAATTTGTACTTATTGAAACAAAATATTTTGCATAAAAATAATCCTTTACATATTAGTGGAAACTTTTACAGGCACATAACTGCTCATGTATAAACAAACATAACAGACTAAAATACTTGTAAGTTAATAACATCCAGAAAGCAGAAGTATTAGAAACTGTTAGCATTAGAATCTTTTTGTTTTTAGTTTTGAGCAATAATTTTATGTCTCAGGCAAAATATTTTTTTATGATTACTGGAGACCCTTGTGGACTTAGGAACACAGGATTCTTATATATATATATATATATATATATTTCCCTTAACATAAACCACACTTACAAAAATAGTGACATAGTATTATGAACAGACTATGAATCAGGGATCAGGAAGACCCACTGGGACATATTTTGTAAAAATATGGCAAATGTGAATGTTAAAAATAGAGTGGATGGGAGTGCTGTACTAATGGTGTTTGGTGGTGTTATGATGGTCACCTTCACAATGGAGTTCTCCTCAGCAGTGTCAGCTGGTAATGGAAGCAGCAACCTCCTGTCAATGATGATACCCTGTCTCACAGAGTGGCAGCGACAGAGGCCACTATCTGGTATAGGCACTGACCTTCAGTATTTGTTGAAACAGTCAGTTTGGCATGGACTTCTCCTTGGAGTCCAGTTGACACATACGTTTTTACCTTCAGAGGCTGTAAACAATTGATTACAAAGATGTTTGTTTCTTTTTACTTTTGATTTCCTCTGACCACTTTCCCTTTGCTTTCTTTTTCTGGTTTGTCTTTCTCAAACTTCTCCTTGTCTGGATTTGTTACACTATCATAGGAAGGAGGAGAGGTGGTAGAGGAACTTCCATCTGTCTTTTCTGGGGTGGAATTCCCATTTAATTTGTCAATAACCATATCTCCTTTTATAGGCAAGTCAATCCTCCCCTTGATTGTCTCTTTGTCGTATTTATTTGATATGTTTTTTAACCTTTGCTTTAAAAGGTAACATCTGTAGTTGCGCTGAATGATAGCAGCAGACACCTCCTCTTGTTTGCGTTTCAAAGTGGTGGTGATTGGTTCATAAGAGACTTTGGAGGGGTTGGACGCCATGAACCGATCTTCCATCTGGATTCGAAGGGCATCCATCTCCCCACTCTCACCCAACACCCGCTTTGTAAAAGCAAATAAGATGTCCAGGCAGTGGATGCGGTCTCCGCTCACCATGGGCAGATCCATGGCAATGAGCTGGACTTTGTTTGGCTTTGCGATGAGAAGGGGAGGATCGAGGGCAGCAGCAAAGTCAGACAGCTTGCAGAACTCTATGAACTGTGTGGCGTCAGGGTCGAACTTCTCCCAGACCTCATAGAACATCTCAAAGTCGTCCTCACTCAGGGGTTCTGCACTTTCTTCAGTGGCAACGCTGAAGTTCTCCAGGATGACCGCGATGTACATGTTCACCACAACCAGGAAGGATATGATGATGTAGCTGACAAAAAAGAAAATCCCCACGGATGGGTTCCCACAGTCTCCCTTCACTGAGCTTCCTGGGTGAATTGCATCCGGGTCACAGTCAGGAGGTGCACTGTTGAGGATGGGGGCCAGCAGCCCATCCCAGCCTGCGGAGGTGGTGATTTGGAACAGGCAGATCATGCTGTTGCCGAAGGTCTCAAAGTTGAACATGTCATCAATTCCAGCTTCCTTTTTAACGTAGGCAAAGTTAGACATCCCGAAGATGGCATAGATGAACATGACCAGGAAAAGCAGGAGGCCGATGTTGAACAGCGCAGGAAGAGACATCATCAGAGCAAAGAGCAGCGTGCGGATCCCCTTGGCGCCTTTGATCAGGCGTAGAATTCGGCCAATCCTGGCCAGGCGGATAACTCGGAACAGGGTAGGGGACACAAAGTACTTCTCTATCAGCTCGGCGAGAAACATTCCTGTGAAAAAGTATACAGAAGAGAAATGAACAGTGAGTGTATGTCTATTCACAGGAATGTTGTATGTGTGTGCTTCCTTTCCTTTTTCTTCCTCCCTTCCTTCCCCCCTTCATCCGGCCCTTCTCCCTCCCTCCCTCTCTTCCTCCCACCATTCCTTCCTTCCTTCCTTTTTTCTTTTTGACATTTTTTTCTCTTTTTTTCTGTGTAACCCTTGCTGTCCTGGAATTCTCTGTCGATCAGGCTAACTTCAAACTTAGAGATTCTCCAGTCTCTGCACCATCACCTGTTTTTTGTTTTTTTTTTTGGTGTATGCTTAATTTACAAAATATCTTATAAAAACTTCCTTAACTATACCCTTGAATCCACTCTAATATTGACATTTAAACGTTTTAGTCAATGATTCTATAATATAACACTATAAGGCAATGTAGATTTTTGTAAAAATCAAAAATAGTCTAAAATATTACTATGCCAATTTATGGTTTTACTTCCCCATTGTTATACATCACTATTAGACGTGGAATATGGCAACTAGAAGTAAAGGTTATTTCTGAAATTACTCATTGTTTTCAAACAGTGACTTTCTTTAGTTTGAGAAAAGTGAACCACATCTGACCTATAGTTTCTAAATTTAAGAGTTTTATAATATCCTCATTTCCTCTTCCTGTCTGTTAAAACCCTACCCTTCTCAAAAGAGCCAATGTTAAATGTCATTTCTCTGTCTTCTGAAAGAGTCTTAAATATTTTGGGCAGTGTTGGCTATTTCTTCTTGATTGTTCTAATCATGTCCACAGTACTGTTTGAATGAAAATGGTCTCCATAGGCACTATGCTTGAATGCTTGGCCCCAAGTTAGTGGAACTGTTTGGGGAGAATGAGGAGATGTGGCCTTGTTGGAGTAGTATGACCTTGTTTGAGTAGGTATGGCTTTGTTGTAGTAGATGTGACCTTATTGGAGTAGGGATGACCATTTTGGAGTAGGTATGGCTTTGTTGGAGTGAGTATGTCACTGGGCTTTGAGGTTTTGAAAGTTCATGTCAGTCCCAATCTCTCTCTCTCTCTCTCTCTCTCTCTCTCTCTCTCTCTCTCTCTCTCTCTCTCTCTCTCTGCCTACTGCCTGAGGATCAGGATGTAAAGCTCTCAGCTTCTGCTCCAGTGCCATGTCTGTCTGCTTTCTGCCATGGTGATCATAGACTAACCCTCTAAAACTATAAGCAAGCCCCTAATTAGATGCTTCCTCTTTTAAGAGTTGCCATGGTGTCTTTATAGCAGTAATGCAGTGAGCAAGACAAGTACTAAAACTATTGTGCTATGATGATATGTTTTAAAGGCATGTGCCACACCCCTAAGCCTGACCTCTAGCAGAATGTTGTGGTTTGAGTGTTAGCCATTCTCCATAGGTTCAAGTGTTTGAATCCTTGCTATGCTAATGGTGGTTGTGTTTTGGCAAGTTGTGGTAGAACCTTCAGGAGGTGAAACCTTATTGGGAGAGCTAGACCTTTTAGGGGCAGGGCTTGAGTTTTATAGCATAGCTCAATTTCCTGTTGTCATTCTCCTTCCCAAATGGAAGTTCACTTTAACCAGCTGCATCTTGTGCCCCATGCCAGGCATCCCACACCAGGATGGAATGCATCCCTACTCAGCCTGAATATGCCCTTCCTTTTTTAAACTGCTCCTTGTTGGATGTTGTGTCACAACAATGAGAAAAGTAACTAATATAAAGAGGTTATACTGATTTTGTTTCTGCTTTCTTCATCTGTTCCCTGAATCCCATACTAATACTTTAATTTCTAACCAGTTAACTTTATGAAAAACTCAACTTTCAAAATTTTATTCAAATATGTTAGCATTGAAATTTTTACTTCGAACACTCAGTCTCCACTGCATTTCTTATATTTTGGTTGTGAGCCTAGCCTTTAACAGCTAAACCATCTCTCCAGCCCTAAACTGCATTTCTATGGCAAACTGTTGGCAGAATTTGGGGACAAAGTTCTCTAGAAGTCCATGTCTTTATGATGGAAGTGTTCTTACCTACAATTGAGAGAATCACCACCACAAAGTCAAAGATGTTCCAACCAATAGTGAAATAGTAGTATCTGAGAGAGATGAGCTTCAGCACAAACTCCCCAGTGAACAGGACGATGAACACCAGGTTGATTCGGGACAAGACCAGGGTCATGTATTTGCTCTGGTCATCAGTTTCCACCATCATAGTGACCATGTTGAGGCAGATGAGGATCATGATACTGATGTCAAAGACTTGCCTGGTTACAAAATCAAAGACCATCCCTTGAATTTTGTTCTAGAAAGAAAGGGGAGATAAAGTTAGTGTATAAATTGCACAAATACATTGCAAATTTACATATAGCTCTCAGGTATGCATCCTTCTTACAATATTTAAGCTCTGTTTTACTTCCTGTTGTTTTTCTAAATGAGAGGTATGATACAACATGCCAGTAACAAATATATTTGGTCTAGTTGGGTCTCATAAGAAGATAGAACTGAATACGCCAGAAACTGGTAGAAATTGGCTGAAAATATGTAGATGCTGTTTGGTTAACTATAATAATTTTTATAAAAATTTCAGTCAATAGTGAAGACTTAAGATAAAATAAATACAGACTTTTAGATGATTAATCTACTTCATTTATCAATATTTTGAGAATTTTCTGTTATTCCTTATTTTCTTTCCTCAAATGATGTTAGTTATATTTTTTCAATTCTGTTTATTTGTTAATATGTTTCCCCATCATATTTTCCTATTTATGCTTCAACTAAAATGCATGAAAGGACTAGAAAGATGGCTCAGTAGAGAACTGGCTGGTCTTTCAGAGGACCTGTGTTCAATTCCTAGCTCTCATATGGTATCTCATCACTCTTGGTAACTTTAGTTCCAGGGTATCTGATTCTCTATTCTGTATTTCACAGGTATAGGCAGGCACAATGTGCAAAGACATATGCATAAGTCTTCCACATACAGCTTCTTAAAAATGCATGCGAAATGCTTGCCTAACTAATGCCCATTTCAGGAAACATGCTTTTAGAGTCCTGTGTAAGTCCAAATGCAAATATGGTTTTATTATATAACTAAAAGTAATTTATAATAAACATACAAAATCCCATGACTTATGAAAAAATTTCAAGCTCATAAATGAAGCATATTTCAGACATCAGTCAATGACTTTTGATGACGCAGGTTGATTCATTTCTTTCTGTGTTCAGTGTCTTTCTATTCTTTCTCATATTACATCTCCCAGTTTCAATTACTTTTAAATGCATAGTAAGATGATGTCACTGATAGGATTCATGAAAATTTTCAACTGTGAATTTTGCTGATCACAGGCTTTGTGGTCAGGAGTACAGTTGCCTTTATGAGCTTCAGTTGCCTTTTGTTAGGGTACAGGTCTGTAAGCATGACTGACCATCTCATGCCATTCTGTATTAGGAAGTATTACAGAGGATTATTTGAAGGATCTTTATTCTTTTTTGATAAAACAAAAATTTTAAGACATTTTGTTTCTTTCTAAGCAAGTTGGGAATATTTTCTAGTCTGAAGAGTGAGAGAACCCCAAACGACAAATGTTTTTCTTATGTGCAGAACCTAAATTTAATATGTATCAAGTTATAGATAATATGGAGGGAGGCTATTATGAATATAGGGGAACATGAGAAAGGAAGGAATTGAAGAGATAAAAGGAAAGACTTGAAGAGACCAGGAAGGGAGCTATAGGGTGAGTATGATGTGAAAACAGAGGTTACTATTTACAGGGGTGGGGGAGAAGGCAACTGGAATGAAGGGTTCTGAGGAAGTAAGGGAGGGTGGTAGGAGAAGGAAGGTATAACAAAGCCTAATGATACATAGATATGTATGAAAGTGTCATAAGAGTTTGTTTACGCTATGTGTTATCTTAAAAGCTAATAACAGAAGGAAAGGGTAAAATAAGATTTTTACTAGGGAGGGAAAAAAGAAAGAAGGAGACAAGAGCATAGAGGAAGGGAGTGGTGGTGGGGTGGGCCATCTGGGAACCTCCATCTATGGTCAAAGACAAATGTCAACAAGGTCAGAGGAAGAGCAACCAGGCATGCTGGCAGCAGGAGAGTGAATCTTGATTTTGGGCAAGTTCTTGGAAATTCTTGAGTTGGAGATCTCAACTCACTATCAAGAACATCCCAGAATGTTAGGAACTTCACACTTGTTACTGATTTTGCATCTGTAGACTGTGCTATATAATATGAGATTTGTGAAGAGTGCTATAGATTGGTGATATCACCCTATACATTCTGATCCAGACACTACAGTTAAACACTGTCTTAGAATATTAATGAACACAAAATATCCTTCTTACTGCTGGCCGAGGGATGGGCTTCTGGGGTTTTTTGGAGCCAAGTTTCTTCATTGCATTGTAATATTTTTTCTGTTCTTCTGTCATAAAGATGTCTTGACCTCCAAAGTAAACATATAGAAAAGCCTGGTTACAATCCCAATCACTGTTACAATATTTTAGCAAAAGTGTTTCTGAATCTTCCTTTAATCTTTTCTCAATTTTAAATGGATTTTATCTTGTTAAATATAGATCATTATTCTGCTTCTCCCATTTAGGTGAAATACTGCAGACTTTAATATTATGCAAAGCCCATAAGCATATAAAATTCCGATTAGTACAGCATCCTAATTGGATTATATTGTGTTCCCAATGAGTTTTAAGGTTCTTAAGTTTATTTTCATGGAGCCAAATATCTTGTTTTTCCTCTTTCACTGTTGAGAGTTTTAGTGTTATATTCAACAATTTTTAGCATAATTTTGTGTGTGTGTTCAACAGTGTGATTGGTATGGAAATCACATAGGTACATAACATAGCATTGTGCTCCTTAAGTGGGTAGTCCATTAAAAAAGAAGGTGGGAAAAGTGAAATGGTATGCAAAAGGAGGGAAAGGAAGGAAAAAAGAGGGAGCAAATGAACAGGAAGGAGGAAGAAAAGTTATTGTAGACACAACACATTGAGAAAGTCAGGCGTAAGCTTAAGGCTTTAAAGGATAATAAAGAGCTTGCTGGGCAATGCATCTCAAGAAGAGAAAATATCAGATGTAAAGCTATGGAGAAACCAGTGTGTGTCTGAGTTCAGAAAATATCAGGAAGATTCATGCAGTTGTCCTCTAGCAAGTCCAGCTGATGATGTCTGTGGATGGGGGAATGAATAGGTAACAGGGTAGTGGATAAAAACGAGCTATGGGACATGATGAGGCTGAGATATTTGTGAGGGTGATTCCTGAAAGGCCCCATTAGCCATGCTAAATGATGTGTAGTCATTGGATGTCCTGAGGTAATGATGATATTTCTGCATCAGAAAGATAGCTGTACAGTGGATGTAAGGGCAGAAGCTGCGGAGTGGGGAGTATGGCTTAACTGGCCACAGAGTATTAATAATAAATTTCACAGAGTGAAAATAATATAAACACAATCTAAGTATGTCATGACTAAGTATCTGGTTGACTGTGTGGCATACAGGTCTTGGAAGAGGGACAGTGAGGTGTGGGAGATACTCATCTTTTTCTTTTGCTGGTTGAAGTTGTCTATGATGACACCGATGAACAAATTTAAAGTGAAGAATGATCCAAAGATGATGAAGATGACAAAGTATAAATACATATATAGATTTTCTTCATATACAGGCTGAAGTTTGACCTAACAGTGAAAATATTGAATACTATTAGTAACATGGACACTTGGACTAAATAATGTAGTGAGTGCTGTTATGTCATATGAACTTGTCTTATCATATCTTCAGGTATTATTTTACAAAAATAATTATTTTCTCAAGCTAGCACAACATTTGAAAATTTAACTTTTGAAATTCAACAAATTTTTCCATTGTAGCCTAACTGCCAAATATTCCTCAGCACAAATAACACTGATATAAATACAGCTAACAGTTTGGGTCTGTTATTTTCTTTTTATCATGTCATCATCATCATCATTATTATTATTATTCTGACATGTTTTGTAATATCTTCAGTTTGTGTTTGAAAAAGTTTTAATAGCAGAAAGTCAACTGAGAGGAAAATATAAGATAAACCAATTCTTTATATTTCTACTTTTGAGATTGAGTTCCCTTGAAGTCCACTCACTTGCCAATGCTATGATATTCTTGGACGCTGTTTACCCGACTGGCAGGTCATGTTCTCTAGAGAAACAGGAAAACAAGTGCCTCCTGCACTGAACTATCTTTCTACTCAGAGTAGTTCTATTTGCAGGGCTAATCTCATCCTCCGTGTAATTTGACAACTTTTCAAGTAGACATATTACCTATTATATATCATACCTACAGTAACCAAACTACTATCCACACATAAACACCCTGTCATAAATCAATCATGTCTGCTTGCATTGGTAGATACTTGGATTTTATGCCATACAGAATTCTGGGTCAGTTCAATTCTCACCAATGATTTACATGAACAATCTAATAGCTGCAAAGAGTGTCTGAGAGCTACTTACATCCCGTGAATCAACAGCTGCATACATAATATCCATCCATCCCTTGAATGTGGCCTGCACACAATACATATTAAAATTATGGATTTTTCACCTAAATGCATTGCATTTAGCAGATATAAATACAACAGCATTGCTATAAGTATCTCTTCATACATCACTGTGACATTCTCTACTTTACTCAATGAGTTCAATGGTGCATTATTTAGTATTTCCCTACTAATCAAAATTTGTGTTCAGAGTTTAGAATTTCTTTTCTTTTTTCTGCTGGGAACCATTCTATATTTTTGTTTTTCTATAGCAAAACCTAACTGGAGACTTGATTAATAAAAATTAATCTCATCTTAATTCCTTCCAACAAGAAGATAAAAATCAGTGTTTGAAACCAAAACTCTAATTCAAACATAACTCCTTTTCACTAATAACTGGCAATTGTCATGGGGTTAAAAAAAATAAGCACTATATATTTTGCAAGGTATCTCTTGAGATTTACATTTCAGCATGTATAAAAGCATCATATTATTTTAGACAATGCTATGGAAAGTGTCTGGCTAAAAAAAATCATACATTTAATTCATAAATATAATATGTAACTGATATTTCAATGTATACATTTTTTTTACATAAAATTAAAACTGACATAACGGTCAGTGGAATAATAAGAAACATATAGGAAGAAATAAATCCCGTGAAATCATTAAAAAAAAAAACTGCACCCCTGGGGGAAAATAAAATAATTGTAATTTCTTCCTCATAGTCAAGTAACTAATTTGACGTGTCAACTACCTTCTTATTTTAAAATATGATTTTTTCAGAGAGCACCACAGAAGGGGTCTTAGGTGGCACACTTGAAAACGTTTTCAGGTTCGTACGGCAGCCAGCCACTTACCACTTGCAGCAATGCTAGGTAGCCTGCCCCAACATTGTCAAAGTTGACTTTCACATTTTTCCACCGGGCTTGCTTGCCAAGAGCCTGACAGTCACTGAAATTGTTGACTTCACTCATGTCAAACATGTTGCCTGTTGTCATGTTAACACAGTGGTAGAACTTTCCAGCAAACAGATTCACACCCATGATACTAAAGATCAACCAGAAGATGAGACACACCAGTAGTACGTTCATGATAGAGGGGATTGCTCCAACAAGAGCGTTCACAACCACCTGTGGGAGAACAGGAGAACCATGACTTGCTAAAGTGGAAGCCATTGCAGATGTATGTTCAGTCTGCACCAAGACACATTTGGAAGGGGCTAAGTAGATTTCAAGCTCTAGAATGTTTTTTCTAGTGTTTTCTACTGCATAATGATGAGGGGAGGCAAACACCAATACACCTCAAGGGCTGAGCAGGAAAGCAGAGCAAAATACAACAAAATTGAAAAGAAATGAACAAACCCTGACATAGCAAGATAGAATCAGAAAATGCACGCTGAGGAAAAAGTGCTAAGGGAGAAATATGAATTAAATGTCAACAGTAGTAATCATTTGCAGTAACATACTAATTTTTGTGAACATGAGTGAATTAATGATTATCTAAATTAATAAGTACACAACCCCTTCATAAACAAAGCATGTGAAAGGCATAAAATCTATGTCCTCCAGTCAGGTACATTTGTATGATCATTAAGGCAAGGATTAAGGGTTTAAAAGTCTTTCATTTTATATTAGGAAATTTCTGTCTCTTAAACATAGAATGAATTACAGGCAGAGGTAAGATTTATCTTTAGATGTAAGGCTATAAAACATATCCTATTAGTGTTACTTGTCAATCTCCTGCACATTCTCTTTGAGTCTATGTTAATCTTTTTCACTAAGATGACATGTGTGAAGAAAAAGTCCAATCACCTTTTGTTTCTCTGAATCCAGGAAATATTAAGCTGCATTTCAAGAACTCACATAGAGCAAAAGTAGCTTTTCTACCTTCACTTATTCTACTCCATAGTGGACTACTCTGTGAAGTATTCCTACTCGATGAAACTATTGTTTATTGAAACATAGAGTAAATGTTATTTTAAAAATTGACAGGAAAAAATTGTAAACCAACATCAAAGTGATGGCCAGGCCCAATTGCTGAAGACAACACCTACACAACTCACTAAACCGGGAGAAGTAAAGCTGGTGCCTGCATAGAGCTTTCACACCCATTTGTGCTAGCACTTTTGATACAGGAAGGTGCTTTGCAGGCTACCAAAGGAGAATTGTAAACACCAACTCAGCTGCAAACTTTTTGATCTACAATGGTATCTTGCCTGCAAGTTATGCTAGTGCAATGGTGGCACAAATTTTGTGGGAGTAATCAAGCAATATCTGATTTGACTTAAGGTCCATTCCACCAGATGGAACCCATATCCAACACTACTTAGGTGACCAAGAACCTGAGACTAGAAAACCAAGAGACCTCGGGTAAAAACCAAGCAATACTGTCCTAAATAAACAGTGCCTTGCTCAGCCATTATCAGAGATGCCTCTCCCTTCAGAAGATGGGAACAGAGAACCACTGCCAGACATTACCCAGAAAATAAGAGGCCTTGGAACACACACTTAACCCAGAATGGGATGTCACTATCTAAGCCCTTCTCCCAGGGTTTAGGGAACCCTGCAGAAGAGGAAACAGAAACACAGGAAGAGCTAGAAGGGATGGAAGACAACAAGCAAACAAAACCCAGTCTAAACAAATAGGATCAATATGTACATATGAACTCACAGAGAATGAGGCAGCATGCGCAGGGCCTGCGCGGGTCAGACCAGATGGGCTCTTAGAACTGAAAGGAGATGTGGACACATGCCCCCATCCCTAACCCAAAAGCAATCTCCAATTGCTAACCACTTGCAAATGAAAATCTAGTTTTCACCAAAAGACTCTCACTGGGAAACAAACTACTCTCAAGGGTAAGTGGCATTCCTAGCAGTAGATGGCCAACAGAAAATTTATTCAACAGCATCTTTGGAGGTTCCTTGTCTTATAATATTGTGTCAGGACATTTTTTGTTTTTGTTATATATATATATATATATATGCGTGTGTGTGTCCATATATATATATATATATATATATATATATATATATATATACATATGTCCTTCTTATATATATTATAGTTTCCTGTTTAGTGTGTTTATGAGTTCTTGAGCATACCAACTAGCGGATCTCTGCAATTATATCTGTTTCTTGAACTCTTTCCTTATGTTTGTTTTATCTTATTCTGATGTTTTATGTTTTTTTTTTTTCTGTCTTATTTTGTCATTGTTCCTTGGAAGCCTGTTTGTTTTCTAATGAGAGACAGAAAGGGGTGTATCCAGGTGGGAGGGGAGGGGAGGAGGAACAGGACAGAGGAGAAGGAGGGGGAACTGTGATCAGGTCATATTATAATGAGGATAAAAATCTATCTTCAACAACGAATAAAATACAATAAACCATCAACATGAAGCCACAAAGAATGATAAACCCTGAGATGATGTCAGCAGTAAAAGAAGATCGTTATTTAGAACAGATTTCTATGAATTTCTTAACATAAGCAATGAATCAGAATTTGCGACAGGCAGGCCAAGCCTATCTCTGCTCCCAGTGCTGCGAGAGCAGCTGGAGGGTGGTTTCATTTTCCACGATGAGTAAATTCTGCAGTCAAGGCTGAAGGGGTTTATTGCCCCAAACAAACCACCTCCTAACATAAAAACCCCATGGCCTTGAAGAAATTCAATATCTGTGTGCATTTGCAAAGCACATTAAACAAAGCTGGCCTTTGTGCAAAGCAGCTCTGAAGGCGTGGCAGCCGTGCATTTTCTGTGGTGAGACAAGATATACTTGCAAAGGAAGAGAGCAGAGGAGGACAAGGCTGATGCTGTGGAAAATCTGAACCTCTCCCAGAGCATGTGCTTAAAAGATATGTGAGGCAAAGCCGGCTTATTAGAAATATGAAGCTAATTACCCTAACAACTCAATTTGGATGTGAGGGATATACCAGTTTTGCTGGGTGCAATGGTTTACACTAATTCAAGAAATAAAGCATTGCCTTAACAAATATTACTGATACTTTTTGGGGACTCAAACATATTTACTGAAGGTCCTGGTAGGATGAATGTTGTCAATAGTTATTCTAATGTGCTTCAGCAATGAAAATAATAGCAGTACATGGAGATGTGTGTGTGTGTGTGTGTGTGTGTGTGTGTGTGTGTATGTATGTGTGTTGGGACACAGGAGAGGGGGGGGACAGGTATGAACTGTGAACTCAAGCCCCAGATGCTGGTATTTGCTCTGTCTCAATTCCTGAGTGCAGTTAAATAAACTGCAATTTCCAGAAGAAAGGCTTGCCCTTCTCAACCGCTTTAGCCCTGAATTATCTAATTCTGTGGAGAGTACTATGTCTGTGAGTCACTGGCTGCTTGAAACTCTGAGTTGTAGAGAGCATCATTAAGTCTTCTTACCCTCATGCCTTCAAAGCGGGATAAGGCACGGAGAGGCCTCAGCGCTCTCAGGGTCCGTAGGGATTTGATGGCACCAAGTTCTGAGTAACCGAGGGCAGTGGCCACCAGGCTAACCAAAGAAACCTGTAGATGGAAAATAAACTGTTAGTCTACCACCAAATTAACTGTTAGATAAAGGCACAGCATGTACTGTCCATTCTTGAGTGACTGCCAATTAAAATGTGACTATAACCTTCCCGACTTCATCTTCCTCACCATCTGATGCTGTCTCATCCCTAGCTGTACTTTCAGTAACAGCAAAATGTGCTACTTGCTTATACTTGTTAACACTTAGAGGGATGTCATGCCACAGGCTTCTTTGCAAAGTATGTGTATTTTTATCACTGATAATTCAGCGCTTAGTTCAAAAGTCCAATCCCTTTGATTAACACTACCAAATAAAACTTCTCTCCTGAATTGTAAGATATATTGTGAAGCCTAGAGATATTTGCCAGGTAGGGCTGGTAAGCTGACTAGGATTAATCTCTCTGTCTATATCATATAAGCAATGTATTAAGTGGGCATAAAACTCTGTTATTATCATATATAATATGGTCTGGCTAGATATACAACAGTGGAGCCATTGTCACTTCATTGGATAATTTAGCATATCATTTATAAAATTCAAAACAACAATGCATTGAACTAGTAAGGAGAAAATTTATCTGAAAATATTTTTTTTTCAGAATTGGAGTTTTGGTAATACAATACTTATTCACAATGATCACACATTTTTCTGATGCTCATAATTAAGTTGAATTTTAGTTGAATATATGCAACATGAAATAATAATAAATAAGGGTAGGGGAAGTAATTTGGCTTGATATTCTTTCCATATACTTTGAGGCCTTCATTCACAAGTCTCCAGAAGTAGGCACTGCTATTGTCACCTATGGTGAGGATGCAGAGCATCACTCTGAACACATACATCATGATGAAAAGTAAAATAAGGAATAAGGAAGGAAGGAAGAGAGAAAGAGAAAAAAATGGGCTGGGGAGAAGGCTCAGCAGTTAAGAGTATAGGATGTTCTTCTAGGGGACCTACGTTCAATTCCCAGAACCTGTACTGCAGCTCACAACCATCTGTAACTTCAGATTCAGGGGATCCAATGCCCTCTTCTAGCCTCCTAAGGGTACCAGGCATGCATGTGGTATACATATAGGGAGAACACACCTATACATAGAAAATCTAAATATTGGGAAAAAAACTTAAGAGACAAAAAAAACCCCCAAAAACAAACAAACAAACAAAAAAAAACAGAATACACATCTAGTAAGAGATGGAGTTGGAGGAGGCTACAAGTCAACCAATTTGACATCAAAGCATATTTCAACTTTTACATCCACTTTTTTAAAAAAGAAGCTCCTCATTGGAATCATAAAACACACACAATGACCTCAATGCCACTTTCTTATTCCTTGTATGGGTAAAACTTCTTCTTCTCCTCCTCCTCCTTCTTCTTCTCCTTCTTCTCCTTCCTCTTCTTCAATAACATTGTTTTGTTACATTAATTCAATGGGTTAAGGTCATATGAGCTTAATTTTATGTGTAAAAAGCTATTGGGAGACTAAGTGAATTTTCCCTGTGATACTCTGAGGCAAGATGGAGTCAATGTTCTTCTCAAACACACATGGCATCAAGGGTGACATACGGACTTTAAAAGCAAATGCAGCCACTGTCCCTTCCTTGATTGATTTAGCATTAACTCACACATAAAGTCTAAGAGAATAATAAATTACTTGAATGTTAAATTTGATCAGTGACAAGATTATTTATGAAGCTCTTTATTTGTGTCTTGGGCTTGCTGCTATAGAATATCAGGGAGATTGGAAAGGCTATTATTGAATCCATTGGCTTCTATGTTCTTCATTCCTTTATCTCAGGAGACATTAACAACTTTAAACATTTTTTTTTTTCTGGAGCTAACACCTGAAGACTTCTTATCCTCCCAGCCAAGCCCTTTATTTAAGACCAGGGCTTTAAATGGAAGTGGCTGCACTTACCTCATGACCCTAAAAGACATCAGCTCATACTTTAAAAGGAAAGGAACAGTCTTTCTTCTCATGTGTAGAAACAATGGGTACCGGGAGGATAGGAAGTCTTGGCTTTAGAAGCTAGATACATCATTGCCATTTGCTCACTCTGAACTAGAATGGCAATGTTGCCTGAGAAGCTCTTAGTAAATCTGAACTTCTACTGAAGCTTAGGAGTTAGAGGTCAAAAATTTCAGACCTGTACCCAGTCACAATGAAAGCACTGGAACTTATTCATTTCCGTGTGTGTGCATGTGTGTGTGTGTGTGTGTGTGTGTGTGTGTGTGTGTGTAGAGCAGGTCCAAGTGCCTTCCTGTATTATTTATTGAGACAGTTGCTCACACTGAATCTGGAGCTTACTTAGCAGTATTCTGCCCAGTGAGTTCCAGGATGCAACCACACTTGACTTTTTGCATGGGTGCTCTTCCTACTGTGGTTAGTGGCTCACAGTCCTGTTGTGGGATAAACTTTTTGTACACCTTAAGAGATGTGTCTCTGCCTAAGGTTTAATGAAAAGCTGAATGGCTAATAGACATGAGAGGGAAGGAGGGACTTCCAGACAGAGAGAAGAAATGGGAGGAAGAATCTCCATGTGTGAATGTCCCCAGCAGACTGGGAGTAAGTGGGAGCTGCCATACTGAGGAAAGGAAAAGAGCCATATGGCAGGATATAGATTGAAAATATGAGTTAATTAAGATATAAGAGCAACTTGGAAACAAGCCTAATCTAAAGGTCAAGCTTTTTAAATTAATAAGAAGTATCCATGTTATTACTTGTGATCTGGGTGTTCAAAAGAAAGTCAAACAACCCTGCCCAAACTGTTTCTTTAGTTCCCTATTACTTCAGTATGAAAGTTTCAGGGCAGAAATCGCAAGAAGCATTCCATGCTAACGTATACAAAGAGGATGATAACCAGCTCAAACAAACTGAATTCTTAATATGAATTTACAGGAACGTGAGCACAGGCCACACCACACAGTAAACATCCATGGTAGAGGCTTCCCATGGTTGTTTGGCTGTGATCACACAGTTTTACACTTGTGTGTCAGTTGTGCATGGCGACAAAATCCTCTGGAAGAAGGGAATGATAGTTCTGAAGGGCACCAGAGGTCTGTGACCCATTAATGAACAATGCAGAAAGAGTTAGTTTCCCTTCAAAATGGGTAAGCATAAATCCTTAATTTCAATATAAATAGTTGGTAGATTAAACTTGCGTGCATCATTTCCATATATTCTGATGACACACCTCAATCCAAAACATGCCATAATTAAAGGAAATACATATAAGACCTTTTAGAATGTTGAACAATGTATTTATGCCCTTTAATGGTAAAATTGAGAAACATTCCTGGTGAAACTAGAATGACAGAATCTTCTCATCACTGATACTGTTTTTTAAGGCTTTGTGGAAAATGAAATGATAATAAAAAAAAGTGGGAGAAGTCATTGTATAGTGACTAGATGTGAGTAGCACAAGAAAATCAAGAAGAAACCACTATGAACAATAATATAATCACATTAGGTGATTGATTTATTTTTTTCTACTAACTTACTAAAACTTTTATATAGGGAACTTGGATCTTGGTCGGGGAGACACTTGTCTAGAATGTTTTAACAGGGGATCTCAGTTCCTGGTACACCCTTGACTGAACACTGCCCCTCTTCTTTTTGGAGAAGGTCATTCTCTTCCACCCACTGCACAGCTTTGGGAGGAAGGGGACAATTAAATAGCCAGCCATATTAGTCACATCAACCCCAGTGATCAATGTGGTGTCAGGTATCAAAGCCAGACTGTCCTGACACCCTACAGGTGTGAGACTTTGAACTACTTAATTTTGATTGGATACTTAAAAAAATTAATGACTAATAAGGATGACTTAAAATGCTTTGAGACGGGGTATGATGGTTAAATTGTCAACTTGATACAATCTAAAAATCACATGGGAAGAGAGATTCCATGTGGAATTGTTTGGATTGGGTTGTCTTTTGGGCATGCTCTGAGAGATTTTTCTTTCTAGCTGGGTTAGCTGAGATCAGAAGACACCCCTTGAATGTGGGCTGCACTAATTCCCAAGCTGGTCCTGGGACTCAATGGAAAGGTGCTTGGGTGGTGTTATGTCACAAAGCAGATCTTCCCAAAATAGCAGCTCTGCTGACAGCGTCCTAATATGATGGTCCAGCCCCAAACCAGGCTGATTCTTAGTGAGGAAACAGAAGAACTATTATCAGGTAAACAGAAACCTGAACTCAGCATTCCTTAGAAACCCTGCCATGGGAGATGTGGGGGAGAAGGTGGGGAAATAAGTCAGTAAGCAGCAATCTTCCAGAGCATCTGCATCAGCTTCTGCCTCCTGCCTTAAGTTCTTATGGTGGCTCCCTCGTTAGCCAAATAGTAACACATGTAGATAGGTTAAATTTTAACCTATCTCTTCAGTAAGTACTTACCTACTCTCCCTATCTGGATGAAATTCACAAAAGAAAGAACAATGAACACACTAAGTTAATACATGGTGGATCACTTCAAAGGAAAAGCAGCAGAGACACCCATGTGTCTACAGGAGGAAGAAAGCATTTCGATGAACACTCACAAGGCTCTGGACCTAGAACCACTAGATGCCTTGAGGTACACATTGCAAGTCTGTATACACGAAGACTGAATACTATTGCTGGCTTTCATCTACCCTGTCCAGCAGTGTAAGAGAGAGACATGAAGCAAGTATTCCCTTCAGTGCCAAGAGTGAAATGTATACTTGCTCAAGAGATCAGAATGTAGATCCATAATCCACTCTGCTTGAGTTGCCCTGTCACACAACCAAACTTCTTCATTGCCTCCTGCAATTGTGTGATGACATATAAAAATGGGAATAAAGGTGTGTACCACCACTTCCTAGCTTCTGGCCGCTGGGATTAAAGGTGTGAGCTCTGTTACTCTTTTAACCTGATTCAACCTTGCGTAGCCCTGGGTAGCCTTGAACTCAGAGAGATCCATCTGCCTTTGTCTCCAGAGTCCTTTGACTAAAAGTGTGTGCCACCACTGCCTGATCTCTATA